AAAGAGTTTATAGACACAGAATTTAAACTACACACACACACACACACACACACACATGCTCGCGCACACATACAACTCAAGATGAATCATACACCAAAATGTGAAGCACAAAACTATAAAATTCCTAGAAGATAACATAGAAGAAAACCCAGATGACCTTGAGTATGTCAATGACTTTTAAAATACAATACCAAAGGCATAAACCATGAAAGAAACAATTGATAAAATAGACTTCATTGAAATTAAAAACTTATTTTCTATAAATACAATGATAAGACAATGAAAAAACAAGCCATAGGCTGGGAGAAAATATTTGCACATCTGATAAAGGGCTAGTATCAAAAACACAAAGAACTTTAAAAATTCTACAAGAAAAGAAACAATTTGATAAAAAGTAGGCCAAAGCCTTGAACCAACACCACATCAAAGACTGCAAATAAGCACATGAAAAGATATTCCATGTCATTTAAGATCAAGAAAATGTATATTTAAAAAGCAATAGTATACTACTAAACACCTATTTGAGTAGTCAAAATCCAGAAGACTGACAACATCAAATGCTTCAAAGGATGTGGAGCAACAGGGAGTCACTTAACTGCTCATGAGAATGCAAAATGGCACAACCATTTGGAGTATATTTTACCACTGCACTGTTTTGTGGTAAATATTCTCTTACCATATAAACCAGACATTTTTCTCCTTGGGATATAATGTAACAGTAACATGCTTTGTTGTGTTCACCCAAAGGAGATGAAAAATTATTTCCACATAAAAGCCTACAGATGAATGATTATAGCATCTTTATTCATAATTGTCAAAACTTGGAAGCAACCCAGATGTCCTGCAATCGGTGAATGGATAAAATGTGGTATATTCAGAAAAAAGAATATTATTCAGCACTGAAACAGAAATGAGCTATCAAGCCATGAAAAGACATGGGAGGACCTTAATGCATTTTATTAAGTGAATAATAGCCAACCTGAAAAAGTTACATACTACATGGTTCTTACTAAGTGACTTTCTCGGAAAGTTAAAACTATGGAGATGGTAAAAAGTCAGAGGCTGTCTGAAGTTAGGGGAGAAGGAGAGATGCATAAAGGGGCACACAGGAATTTCAGGGGAGTGAAACTCTTCTGCATGATTCTACAATAGTGGGTATATGTCCTTATGCATTTGTGCAAACCCACAGTATATACAACATGCTATGAACCCTAATGGGAACTATGGATTATAATGATGTGTCACTGGAGATTTCCCAACCGTGACAAATGTTATACAGCACCAGGGTGGCAGATGTTGATAGTGGAGGAACCTATGCACATAGGTGGGAGAAGGAGGCCTATGGGAAGTCTCTTTACCTTCCTTTCCATTTTGTTGTGAATCTAAAGCTACTGCTAAAAATAGTTTTTAACAAAGATTTTAAAACAAAAGGAGCATTGATTTCTCTATCTTTAAGCAGAAGCATGAGATTGCCAGCACAAAGCAATAGACCAATGTCCTATTTGATGGCATCCTCAATTTGCTTATAATTATTTTATTAAAAATAAATCTTTCCCAAAAAACAGCAAAGAGATTCCACCTCACCCCAGAAAGAATGGCTGCTATCATGAAATCAACCAATAACAAATGCTGGCCGGGGTGTGGGGAAAGAGGAACCCTGCTCCAGGGCTGGTGGGAGTGTAGACTGGTGCAACCTCTGTGGAAATCAGCATGGAGATACCACAAAGAACTAGGAGTGGAAGTCCCATTTGACCCCGCTATTCCCCTGCTGGGTATCTTTCCCAAAGAATTAAAAGAATCATACCACAGTGAT